TAACAGGAAAAAAAAGTTATTTTATTGAAGTCCAATTACATGTAATCAAATTTACTATTTTAAAAATATACATTTCAATGACTGGTCGGATGGTAGTGGGTCATCAGAAACTTTTAACATTGGTGAAACTAAAGTTGGTATACCACTGCTGAATTTGAATTTGACTAGCTTTTTAAAAATAAAGAAAGAAATGTGTATAATTAAGTCAATCAAGTCAACGCCACAGTCAATCAAGATGAGAATATTCCATTATCCTGGGAAGACTCTTTGCGCCTCTTTGCCATCCACCACCTCCTGCTGCCTCCTCATGGCAACCTTTTATTTGATTTCTGTCCCAATGGCTTTACCTTTCTGGGATGTCTTAGGAAGTAAATCTATTAAGTCTTTTAAAGATATCTCCTTTAATTTAGCATAATCCTTTTGAGATGTGTGCATATTGCTATATATATCAATATTTAATTCCTTTTTATTGTTGTATTCCAATTAGCTAGGGTGCTCTAGTGGCTTAATGGTAGAAGCTGGGCTGCCATCTCAAAGTCATACAGCTGAAATGCAGGAGAAAGATGGCCAGTCTCCTGCTGTGCCATTTACTACCTCTGAAAACCCTGTGGAAGGTCAGCTGTGGGTCAGTTCTGACTTGAGAGTACACAACAGCAGTTCTGGTTACATAAATATATCAGTTTGTACTCTCATCAGCTGATAGACAAAGGGCTTATTTCTACATTTGGAAGCATTCACAAGCCTTTGTGTTAACATGTCTTTGGAGTACATACCTAGGAAAGAAATGCTGTTCTCATGTATACAGTGCATATTTAACTTTGTAAGACATCACTAAACTTTTTTCCAAAATGGTTGAGCATTTTGCTCGCCCTCAACAGTCAACACTGGAACTGCATACATTTTCAAATGCCAACCATTTCCAAGTTAAAGCTCATTTACAAGTAAGTGTGGGTTTGTTTATTTGTTTGTTTGTTTAGAGTGTGTGTGTGTGTGTGTGTGTAGTGCCAGCTCAGTGCAAATACACCAATACTATTAGTACCTAGCTATAGGTCATTTCCAGCTCAATGCTACACAACAACCACATAATGCCTCTATATGGTTATCATTGTTATTGATTTCGAATTGGGATCAACTCATAGCTGACTCTCCACCAGGTTTTTAGAGGTTGTAAATTGCACAGGAGAAGACTACTTATCTTTCTTCAAAGTAGTTGCTGGTGGATTTGAACCGCATGCCTTTAGGTTGGAAGCAATTTTCCTTACCACAAACTTTGGTGGCCTAGTGGCAAGAAGCTGTATTGCAATCCCGAAGGTACACAATTCAATTCCACCAGAAGGATGGACAATCTCCTCCCATGCAATTAACTGACTCTGAAAACCCAACAAAGGGTCAAGTATAGGTCGATTCTGACTTGATGGTACACAGCAACAACCAGCCACCAAACCCCCCCAAGTTATATAATAGCAGGTGAGCAATAATATTTCTTAAAAGCTGGTGATGATACCTGCTTATTTGCTATTTGTTTATGACAGTTTATCTTATTGCATTATAAAACTTTTTTATGTTCTGAATACATATTCCTTTTTTCAGTTAAGTGTGTTATAAACATTTTCTCCCAGGGTTTGGTTTGTCATTTCATTCTCTTGAAAGTATCTTTTGAAGAGTGGAAGTTTTAAATTCTGAGGAACTTTAATTTTCTTACTTATATGGCTTGTGCTGCTTTTGTGTCTTAGAAATGTTTACATAACCTAAAACCTGGAAGGAATTTCTCCTGTGTTTTGGCTTTTTTTTTTCTTCCCAGAATTTTCATAGCTTTTTTTTTTTTAAATAGCCCTTCCAAATTAGGTCTGTGGTCCCTTTTGAGTTAACTTGCATATATGATGTAAGCTAAGAGCTGGGTTTATTTGTTTGTCATTTAAAACAAAATTTTTACAAAACCCTGCCAATTATAGTCTATTATACAATCTGCTGCTGTTGTTGTTCTGTTCCATTGAGTCGCTGTAACAGCTCTAAACCCTGTTCTATTTTTTGCCAGCCTTATTGTCTCTGACACACCTACCCCAGTCACTGACTCAATCCATCTTATGGAGGGTTTTCCTCTCTTGCGCTGTCCTTACACCTTCCCAAGCATGATGTCCCAGTCCAAGGACAGGTCTGTCCTTCCAACATGCCTAAGTATGTCAGACGAAGCTTCAGAATTCTTGCTCCAAGGAGCAGCCTGGTTTCACCATCTCTAGCTAAAGAAAATGAAATCAAATCTACAGGAACCAAAATATGACCTTATCCCACCTGAATTTCAAAACCATCTCAGGACACTAATGAACAAAGACCAGATGAGTTGTGGTAGGATATCAAGAATATCATCCAGGAAAAGTTCAAAAGGTCATTTCAAAGACAGAGGAGGAAAAAATGACCAAAATGGATGTCAGAATAGCCTCTGAATATTGCACTAGAGCTCCAAGAAGCCAAAGCAGAGGGAAGTATTCAAGATATTAAAGAGCTGAACAGAAGATTTCAAAAGGCAGCACGGGAAGACGAAGTAAAGTATTACAATGAAATGTGCAAGAAGCTGGAGTCAGAAAATCAAAAGGGCTGAACTCACTCAGCATTTCTTAAGCTCAGGGAACTGAAGAACAAATTCAAACCTCAAGTTGCTATACTTAAAGATACTTTGGGAAGAAATTAAATGATTCAGGAAGTATTTGGGAAGAAAATTAAATGATTCAGGAAGTATTAAAAGAAGATGGAAAAATTATACAGAGTCATTGTACCAAAAGGAATTGGCAAACACAGAAGAATTTAATGAAACAACATATAAGCAAGAGCCTATGGTGATGAAGGAAGAAGTTCAAGCTGCTTTAAAAGAATTGGCAAAAAATAAGGCCCTAGGAATTGATGGTATACCAATTGACGTATTTCAACTAACAGATGCTAACCTGGATGTGCTTACAAAATTGTGGCAATAAATCTGGAGGACAAGCACTTGGCCAACTGACTGGAAGAGATTTGTATTTGTTCCCATTCCAAAGAAAGGTGATCCAACAGAGTGTGAAAATTATCAGACAATATCATTGATATCACATGCAAGCAAGATTCTGCTGAAGATGATCCCAAAACGACTGGAACAGCACATCAGCAGAGAACTGCCAGAAGTCCAGGCTGGTTTCAGAAGGGGCTGTGGTACTAGGGATATTGTAGCTAATGTTAGATGGATTCTGGCAGAATTCAGGGAGTACCAGAGGAATGTCTATCTGTGTTTTATTGATTATGCAAAGGTGTTTGCCTGTGTGGATCACAACAAACTGTGGCTGACTCTGAGAAGAGTGGGAATCCTGGAACACTTGATTGTGCTAATGCAAAACCTATACTTGGACCAGGAAGGAGCTGTCAGAACAGACCAAGGAAACAATGCATGGTTCAAAATTGGGAAGGGTGTACGCCAGGGATGTGTCCTTTATCCCTCCGTACCTTTTCAACCTATATGCACAACAGATTATCCGGGATGCTGGGCTGTATGAGGAGAAGTGTAGCATCAGGGTTGGAGGAAGATTTACCAGGAATCTGCCTTATGCAGATGACACAATCCTGCTTGCTGAAACTAAGGAGAACCAGAAGCGCTTGCTGCAGAGGGTCAAGGATTGCAGCCTTCCATATGGATTGAGGCTGAATATCAAGAAAACAGATTCTCACCACTAGGCCAATTGGCAGCATCAGGATGGATGGTGAAGAGATTGAGATTGTTAACAGATTTAGGTTGCTTGGCTCCATGATCAACACTCTTGGCAGCAGCAGCCAGGAAATTAAAAGACATATTGCGATAGTAAAGTCTGCTCTTAGAGACCTCTCCAAAGTACTGAAGAGCGATGATGCCACTCTGGACACTAAGGTATGCCTGATACAGGCCATGGTCTTTGCAATCACTTGCTAGCATCAGCGAGCTGGACAATGACTAGGGAGAATAGAATGAGAATTGATACCTTTGAGCTGTGGTGTTGGAGCAGAGTATTGAATATGCCGTGGATTGCTAGGAAAACAAACAGGTTTAGCTTGGAGAGGGTTAAGCCAGGCTGATCCTTGGAGGCAAGGATTCTGAAGTTTGTCTGACATACTTTGGACATGTTGCAAGGAGGAACAAATCCTTGGAGAAGGACGTCATGCTTGAGAGGGTGAAGGGACAGTGCATGAGGGGAAGGCTGGAGACAGTGAGACTGGCACAGGATAGAGAGGGTTTAGGGCTGTTGTACATAGGGTCACTATGAGTTGCAGGCGACTCAACAGGACTAATTTGTTTCTTCTCCTAGCAGTCCATGGTATATTCAGTATGCTTCTCCAGCACCAAAACTCAGTCATCCATTCTCCTTCTGTCATACCTAGTAACTAAAACTAAAATTGTACCATCTTCACTCCAATACAGCCATTTAAGTAGAAATGTGCTATTATAGCAAAGTGAGGAGTTACATGACATTAGTATGCAAAGAGGCCTTGTTGTTAGCAATCTTCTCGAAGCACTATTTTTCTTAAAGAAATCTAAGACTATTTATTGACCACTGTTCACCAGTTATTTACAATAAAGTAAACAATATACAATTGGATTAACATTCTGATTACTACAAAGTTGTTTTTCCTGGCTTCAGGTGAAACAGTAACCCAAATACTGAGGACATTTAACCTATATCCTAATGAATGGGTTAGGGTAAAAAAAAATAATGCAAGTCTGTAGTTTAGATTACAAGGTTGTTCACTAGATTACAAGGTCGTTCACTCATATTGCCAAAAAACTGCAACATGGCTAATCATCTTATGTTTTTACCGGTAAAGTCTCAGACATTCAAGGAATTAAGACCGTTTTAGTCAATACAGCACGAGTATTTAGATTTAGGTAAAAGAAGCAGTTCTCTAATCAAATGCCCATTTAACTTTGCTTGCCTTGTTAAAACACACCTGAATTTCCTAAGTTTTCCTCTCTGGGTGGAGTTTTTAACAGCGATCAAGATTTTTCTTTCAGGTAATTTTGCAAATAAGCATTTTGTTTATATGACTTATACAGACATGAGTTTTGATACAGATGCTTTAGACAGTACAACTTGTTGTTATGTGTCGTCGAGTCGCTTGCGATTCATAGTGACCCTGTGTACAACAGCCCTAAACTCTGCTCTGTCCTGTGCCAATCGCACTGTCTCTGACACTCCCATCCCGATTACCCCAGTCACTGAATCAATCCACTTCACAGAGGGCCTTTCCCTCCTGCGCTGTCCCTCCACCCTCCCAAGCATGATGTCCTTCTCCAAGGACCGGTCTCTCCTTAAAACATGCCCAAAGTATGTTAGACGGAGCCTCAGAATCCTTGCCTCCAAGGAGCCACCCAGTTTAACCCCTTCCAGGATGAACCCTTTCCACAATGAATCTGTTTGTTTTCCTAGCAGTCCATGGTACTCTCAATATTCTTCTCCAGCACCACAGCTCAAAGGCATCAATTCTCCTTCTATCCTCCTTGGTCATTGTCCAACTCTCTGATGTATAACAAGTGATTGCAAAGACCATGGCCTGTATCAGAAACACCTTAGTCTCCAGAGAGACACCATTGTTCTTCAGTACTTTGGAGAGGTCCCTAACAGCAGACTTTCCCATGGCAATACACCTTTTAATTTCCTGGCTACTGGTGCCAAAACTGTTGACTATGGAGCCAAGCAAACTAAAGCTGTCAACAATCTCAATCTCTTCACCATCCATCCTGATGCTGCCAATTGATCCAGTGGTGAGAATCTTTGTCTTCTTGACATTGAGCCTCAATCCATATTGTAGGCTGCAGTCCTTGACACTCTGCAGCAAGCGCTTCAGGTCCTCCTCAGTTTCAGCAAGCAGGTTTGTGTCATCTGCATAACGCAGATTGTGGATAGATCTTCCACCAATCCTGTTGCCACATTTCTCCTCATAGAGTCCAGCCTCCCGGGTAATCTGTTCTGTATACAGGTTGAAAAGGTATGGGGATAGGATGCATCCCTGGTGTACGCCTCATTACCAGGTCTTTTATTTGATTTGAAAATACATGGTTTTAAAATTCTTTTCTATTTAACTTAAACTGATCTATACTTTCAGTCAGTCAGAATGATTGTAATCAATTTACTCATGCTTGTGAAATGCTATTTTTGTTTAGAATAGTTTTGGTGGAAAAAAAATTTACAAATGTATTTATGTGTGTAAACCAAATAAAACAGACCTCCAAAATGGTCCATAAACATATATTACAGGTTAAACACAAGTTTAGATTCAGTAATGATTATGAAAAAATTTCCAATGTTTAGAAAAGATGTATATAAATAATTTTATTTCTATCTATCTATCATCTATCTCTATCTCTGTATCTCAATGCACACAATTATTGAACTTCATCTTCTGGACAAGAATGCTAAGGTGGTCTTTCTTCATAAAATGCAATTACAATTTGAGGACATTTCAAGTTTGCCTCTTTTGTCAGCAGCAAGTCAGCTCATCTTAATCTTTTCATTTCATGAGAAAAATTAATTCTCCACTGCTGTCTGTGGTACCAATTATTCACTCAGGATCAAGACCTCTGGCAAAGCAGCATCTCGTTTCTTCTTTGATTTGCTATTATCAGATTCACTGTCAGATTACAATTTCCTTTTTGTGCCATCTTTTTCTTTACCAGCTTTTTGAGAATTCAGAAATGTTTTAATCAATTCCGGGTAATCTAGATTTTCTTCACATTCCCAAGTATTGTCAGCATCTATAAATCTCTTCCACTTGAGGAAAGATTCCACCTTCCTATCCACTACATGTTGGTCCAGCACTTTGTCTACCATAAATTCTTCAGGTTCTGCCTCTTCAACTTTGTTTACTCTCCCTTTATGTACAACTGCTTTCTTTACCACTACCATCACAGGATGATTTGGTCAAGGAGTCAGGAAGTGATTTCTGATCAAAAGGACATAAAATGTGAAACATAATTTCAAACTCTTACAAAATACACACTTAACCTATTGAGATTAGTGTAATCCAGAAATATATTACTCCAAGAAAAATCTCCAAATTATAAACTGAAATTACTCTATGGGGTAATTTTTAAATTAAACAACAGTTTGGCTAACTTAGTAAAGTCCTTTAAAGGATTGTGTAGTTGAGATCAAATTGCTAGCTATAATTGTAAATCACATGAATGGTTTAGGTTTAGGACATGGTAAATCTAAGAAATGATAGTGAAACAAAGTGGGTAGAGACAACAAGAATGGTGAAAACTGCAGCTAGTATTGCTGAATTACACATGGAGACATAGTCAAATGGGCATTTACTCCACTCCATATATTTTCACCAAAATTAAAAAGAAATCAATAAAAAATCATCCCTAGGTCTATGGCTTGGTCTGCTTTTACTAGTGAAGTAACCCTTTTACCATTATTGTAATTGTCTTTGTTTCCATTTACAGGATTTTACCTAGTCGTCTGACTTGCTGCCTTTGCCAATCTAAAAGCACCATTGAAGTTGTATGTAAAACACTCAAGATGCACTGTGACAGTGAATGTCTGCAAAACAACATATACTGTAGTGAGTGTCAATTGCTGCATTATAAATTTTAAACCAACAAGTAAATTATTTCTTTTTATTCACTGATTTCATTCAGAATCCCATTAGAACTAGTTGTAAGAACTGCTCCCGTGCTGAAGGTTTGATACGTCAACAATATTATAATGAATCCTAGCATATAAAGAACAAGAGAAAGAAATGAAAGGATATAAAGAATATTGCAGAGTATGTACCATGCTATCTGCATGGACTTTACCTCTCAAATGAGAACTTTTTTTGTGTAATGTATTGCAGTTTTGTAAACTGATTGCATAAGTACTGTATTCTGTCCCAAGTGCCCCCTGTGTTAGGACAGCTATAGATCTGCTTTTGTGTGTTGTTCTGGTTTGGTGGGTTTGTTTTTTTTTTTTATTTCATAAAGGAGTAACAGTGATAATGCTTGATAAATTTGGTGTGTAGCCTCAGGTTAACAAACCAGACACTGCTTCTGTCCAGCTTTCCTAACACATGGGAAGACTCTCCCTTTCTTAGATTGTCCAACTCTGAGCTTGTTCTGAATCTCAAGGTTTCTTTGACTTCCAAGACAATCAGATATTTTTAATGCTTAACCTATGAATAAAGTTTATTTGCACTAACTTAATTAATTCCATGATGTGACACCGTCACATGCAAAGAGCCAGAATATGGATTTCTAACAGTGATAAATGGAACAATAATAATGCTTTGCTACTTAAATGTACACATATTGCTTCCTTTGAAATCATTTCTGTTATTCTCTTCTTTCCCAGAGGTCACCAGAAAAGATGTTTTTAAACTCCCTATATAGATAAAGCAAAGCAAGAGCAGCAGTGTTGAGTGCCACAGCCTGCTGCCCTGGTTAACTCCCCCAAAGCTGAGCTCTTCATAAGCCCATGCTCCTCCTATACTGTAATCTTCTTGTTGATTGCTGTCGAGTTAAGCATGATTCATCACTCACAAGATTTTTCATTCTTCTGAAAGAGAACACAAACTGCATCATGGTGCATTTGGCCTTTGTACATTCAGAAGCTCTGAGTGCTTCTTTGAGGGGGGAAATATTAAATATGAAATTAAAGGAAGCCTAGTAGACCTCTGTCAAAAGTTGCTTCTTCCCTTCTGTAGTGTAGAACTTCAAATAATGATTGTCCTGAAATCATATTATCCCATAGATTTCTTGAATCATGAACATGGCAAATTAAAAAATCCTTTCACCAGTTGGATGTTGTTGTTATTGTTATAGGCCATCAAGGTGAGTATGACTTGTGGAGAACCACATGAGATCTGAAACTTGTCTTATACTGTTCCATCCTCTTAAACTCTGATATATTTGACTGCACAGCTACAATTAATGTGTCAATCTATCTTGTTGAGGGTCTTCTCCTTTGTGACCCTCACCTTTCCAAGCATGATGTTGCTTTCCAAGGAATAGCCCCTCCTTATAGCATGCCCAAAGTAAGTGAGACTAAGCTCCCTGTTCTTGCCTCCAAGGAGCATTCTGGCTGTACTTTCTTCAAGACATATCTGTTTGTTCTGATGGCAGTTCATGGCGTATTCACCACTCTTCTCCAATATACAATTCAAAGCTATTGACCAAAAAAAATGCCCCTGAAATCAATGGGATGCCAACTGACATGTTTCCACTAACAGATGCAGCCCTGGACATGCTCATGGGTGTGTGCCAGAAAATGTGGAAGGTAGCTACCTGGTCAACTGACTGGAAGAGATGTATTCTTATGTCATCCTTATTCATTGTCCAGTTCTCAGATGCAGAGCAGGTTACTGGAAAGACCATGGTGTGAATCAAGTGACTTTAGTCTTTAAACTGACATCATTGCTCTTCAAGACTTTACAGAGGTCCCTGACAGGCAACATTCTCAACACCATATATGTCCTGATCTCTTGACCGCTGGGACCAAGAAGATTGGTTGTGAATTCAAGTAGATGAAATTGTTGACAATTTCAAACTCTTCTCTTCTACCATGAAGTTCCCATTTGGCTCAATTATTGTTGATGGTATAGTTAAGTGCCGTCGAGTCAAGCATGACTCATAGTAACCCTATGAACAAAAGACCTGAACCCTGGGCGAGCTCTGGTGGCCTAGTGGCAGGAAACTGCACGGCAATCCCAGAGGTGTGTGGTTCAAATCCACCAGATCCTCAGCTGAAGAAGGAGGAACAATCACCTCCTGTACCAGTCAGATCCACTTTGATGGTACACACATAAAAAAAAAAGAAAAAAAAAGACCCGAACCCTGTTCTATAACTATTGTCTTTTCTCTAAATTCATAGAGTTCCTGTCTGCTGCCAAGCCTGTCTTAATCTGGGAACTCCACTAAACACGGTCCATCATGGGTAACCATTATGGCATTTGACACACTAGTGGCACAGTGTTCAGTATCACCGCAACTCCAAGTTATCTCAGTAGAGCAAATTGACAGACCAGTGCAGTACTACTTAGAAGAATGTTTATTCCGAACACAGTTAACTCCAGGCCCGAGAGATTGGCCCAGTAGTGAGTTTTGGTTTTTTCCTTGATGTTGAGATGGAATCCATATTAAAGGCTGTAGTCTTTGATCTTCTGCAGCAAATGTTTCAAGTCTCCCTCAGTTTCAGAGAGCAAGGCTGAGTCATCTACTTAGTGTAGGTCTTCTTCCTAAAACTCCAGCTTCTCAAATGATTTGCTCAGCATACAGATTTTGTCGATATGAAGAAGTAATTATCGCTGAGGCTCACCCTTTTTTATTTTTAAACAATGTTACCTGCTCTGTTCAGACAGCTTCTTGGTCTAGGGTATAGATTTCATATAAGCATAAATATATGCTGAAATTCCCTTTCTTCTCAGTGTTAGTCATAGTTTGTTGTGATCCACAGCCAAATGCCTTTGCATCATTAATAAAATACATATAGACATTCTTCTGGTATTTTCTGCTTTCACCTGAAATCTGTCTCATATCAGCAATGATATTCCTGGTTCCATCAACTCTTCCAATGCAGCTTGAACTTCTGATAGTTCTCTGTCAGTGTACGGTTCCCTTTCTTGGGAGTGGGAACCAGCATGGATCTCGTCTAGTCAATTGTCCAGGAAGCTATGTTTCAAAGTTTCTGGCATACACTCATGAGCATGTCTAGGACTACATCTGTTAGTTGGAACATGTCAACTGTGATCCCATTGATTCCTGGGGCATTTTTTTTTTGGTCAATGCCTTTAGTGCAGCTTGACATTTTTCATGATCACCATTGACTCTTTATCAAATTCTGCTGTTTTTGTTGTTGTTTGCCATCAAGTTGAAACCAACTCATAGCTGACCCTCCAGTGAGTTTTAAGAGGCAGTAAATTGCATGGGAGGAGATGGTCCAGACTTCTCTTGTAGAGCGGCTGTTGGATTTGAACCAAATACTTTTGGGATTGCACACTCCAGGCCGTCAGAGCAATCAGCCAATTATTTTTTGGTACGATGACTGTACTCCCTCCCTCCTTTTGAGGCTTCCTGAATATTTCAAGATTTTCCCCATAGAGTCTCTCAGCATTGCAATTGAATTGTTCTTTTTTAGTGATTTCACTTGAGAAATGCTGAGTGAATTCTCCCCTTTTTGTTCTCCAACTCTAGAACTTTGTACAATCTGTTATAATTCTTTGAATGTACCAACTGGATGACTCAAAATATGATCTCAAGTCCATTCCACTTGAATTTACAAACCATCTTAAGAATTGTTTGAAGCATTGAACAGTAATGATGATGGAAAACCAAATGAGCTGTGGGATGACATCAAGGATATATATCATCCATGAAGAAAGCAGGTCAAACAAAGAGAAAAACAAAACTGAAACTGATGTCAGAAGAAACTCTGAAAATTACCCTACAGCATCTGAAAGCCAAAACAAGGAAAGAGATGTTGAAGTAAAAGAGTTAAACAGAAGATTTTAAAGGGCAACCAGAGAAAACAAAGCAAACTACTATAGGAGAATTTCCAGAGACCTAAAATTGGAGATTTAAAGGAAAGCACTTGCTCGGCATTTTTCAAGCTGAAAGAACTGAAAAGCAAATTCAAACCTTGCGTTACCATACTGAGAGATACGAGGGGGAAAATCGTGACTGATCGAGGCTACATCAAAAGAAGATGGAGGAAGTAAACAGAATCACTGTACCAAAAAGAACTGGATGACACTGAAATATTTCAGGAAATATCATATTATCAAGAAAGAGACAATGGAAGTTGCTCTAGCTTGTTCTTTGCTGTGTGCAGGAAGGGTCACTCGGTAGCAAACTGTCTACATGCCATTTTTCAGTTCTTCCTTCGGTGCCAGTGCTGCTTTGGAGATCAGTGCTGAAATGAACATCCCCATGGTAGGAGTGCTGGCAGGAGTGTGAGGCAGTCACAGCACCAGCCCTTAGGTAGTAGCAGAAATGTGGAGCTACACTAATCAGATTCCCTCCAGTGTGTCCAGCCATCCAGTTTCTCGAAGTCTGTGCCATTAGGGGGCAGCAGAGATCAAGTGAAGCCCTCAGTCAGTACTATTGACTCTGGAACTTCATCTAGTAGCAGCGGAGAATTGGGATTGCCTGAGGGATCACTTACTTAAAAGACAAAAGAGGAAAAGAAACTTCTAGAAGGAACTGTAAAAGATATGGAGAGTTGGGAATCATCATGAGAGTGAATGTGTTCTGTTTATTCCCCAATGAAAAGCAAGCCCAATATTTTAGACAGGTATTGTTATGAAACCCCCAACAAAGATGTCAAAAAAAGTAGTATTACGTTTTCTTGATGAAATAAAGGGAAATACAGAAATTTTTTAGACAAATTCAGGGAAATAATACAAGACCCAGATTATCCAGGAGGCTGGGCTCTGTGAGGAGAGATGTGGCATCAAGATTGGTGGAAGATCTATCAACAATCTGCGTTATGCAGATGACACAACCCTGCTTACTGAAACTGAGGAGGACCTGAAGCGCTTGCTGCAGAGTGTCAAGGACTGCAGCCTCCAATATGGATTGAGGCTCAATATCAAGAAGACAAAGATTCTCACCACTGGATCAACTGGCAGCATCAGGATGGATGGTGAAGAGATTGAGATTGTTCACAGCTTTAGTTTGCTTGGCTCCACAGTAAACACTCTTGGCACCAGTAGCCAGGAAATTAAAAGGTGTATTGCCATGGGAAAGTCTGCTGTTAGGGACCTCTCCAAAGTACTGAAGAGCAATGGTGTCTTTCTGGAGACTAAGGTGTTTCTGATACAGGCCATGGTCTTTACTATCACTTGTTATGCATTGGAGAGTAAGACTAAGGAGGATATAAGGAGAATTGATGCCTTTGAGCTGTGGTGCTGGAGAAGAGTATTGAGGGACTGCTAGGAAAACAAACAGATTCATCCTGGAAAGGGTTAAACTGGGTGGCTCCTTGGAGGCAAGGATTCTGAGGCTCTGTCTAACATACTTTGGACATGTTGTAAGGAGAGACTGGTCCTTGGAGAAGGACATCATGCTTGGGAGGGTGGGCGGACAGCGCAGAAGGGGAAGGCTCTCTATGAAGTGGATTGATTCAGTGACTGGGGTAATCGGGATGGGAATGTCAGAGACCGTGCGATTGGCACAGGACAGAGCAGAGTTTAGGGCTGTTGTACATAGGGTCGCTATGAGTCGCAAGTGACTCGATGGCACATAACAACAACAACAACAACAATACAAGACCAAAATGCAAAATTAATTAAAGAGGTGGGAACCTTATGTAAAAACCAGTTAGAATTTCCAAAGCTTTATGATAAAATAGCAGAAATAAACTTCACTGTGAAAGAACATGCAAATACTCGAAGCAATGGAAAAAAGAGTCAGTTTAACAGAAGACAACTTTGGTTACACATTTTGAAGAACAAAAGAAAGAACAAAGAAAACTGAACAGGACATAGTGGTTTTGCAGGACATCCATCAAGAAACACAATATACACGTAATGAGGGTTCCAAAAGGAATGAGGGAAAGTCCAGAAAACAAATTTGGGTGAATTGTGGTAGAAAACTTTACAGATATTGTAAAAGACAAGATTTGAATTGAAGAAGCTTAACAAATCCCATTTTGGTTAAATTAAAGAGAAACACACCATAATAAATTAAGCTTTCCCAAATGAGATCTAAAGAATTTTGAGAGTAGCTCAAAAAAAGCAAAATATCATATACAAAGGGATCTCAATAAGTATTGATTTTCTCTCTATAACTATGCAGGCAAAAAGGCAATGGAGTGACAGATAAGTCTTGAAAGGATAATATAATCAGCAAAACTGTCATTCAAAAATTAGGGTGAAATTAAGAGACTCCCGGATAAACAGAAATTAAAGAGACTATTGACTCCAGAAGCTCTATGAACTTTGATAAATGTTGATAGTCATAGAAAAGCTTCAGACCTTTTATTCATAGGATCGCTATGAGTTGTGCTCAACTCAAAGGCAATCAACAAGAACAACAACATCTAGCCACCAAATTTGTCCTACAATAACTATTAAAAGGAGTCCTCCAGAAAAGAAACCAACACGAGTCAGTGACTGACGATAGTGACATCAAACAGCCACCTGAATACAAACAAAATAAATTAATACATATTGTAGGAAATCTAGGATACAAAATAGAAATGGGCATTAAAAGGAAATGTAAGGGGAGCTCTGGTGGCCTAGTGGCAAGAAGCTGTACTGCAATCCCAAAGGTACACGGTTCGAATCCACCAGATGCTCTGCCGGAGAAGGAGGGACAATTTCCTCCTGTACCAGTCAGGTCTGACTTGACGGTACACGCACAAAAAATAATAAAATAAAATTTAAAAAAAAGAAAAGGAAATGTAATTGGTTTTACACAGAATTTTTACATACTGAAGAAGCTAAAGGCAGTTTTAAGAAATAACATTATAAACTTAACATTGTACATTTAAACAATGTTAAGTTTATAAACTTAAGGCAACCAGAAGGAAAGTAAATAGAGATACTAAGCAAATAAAGGAAAATTGCTTACGTTGAATTGACTGACTGGGGTAATAGAAGTAGGTGTGTCAAAGACAACGAAATTGGCTCATAATAGGTCAGGATTCAGAGCTATGATACACAGTGTCGCTATGAGTTGCACACAACTTAACAACATAACTATAACAACAATAACATGGTTAATATTGAGAAGAATGGAAATTGTGCTCATGCAAAACCTATATTTAGACCAAAAGCTGTTGTGCAGCATAAAAGCAAGGGAAAAGAGCATGGTTTAAAATTAAGAAAGGCATGAGTCAAAATTGTATCCTCTCCCCGTACCTATCTAATCAGTATGCTGATTGATGCTTTTGAGTTGTGGTGTTGGGGGAGACTACTGAATATCCTATGGTCTTCCTAGAGAACAAACAGAACTGTATTGGAATAAAGTGAAGTTAGATTGCTCCTTGGAAGCAAGGATGGTGACACTTTGTCTCCCAAACTTTGGGCATGTTGCAAGAGAGGCTGATTCTTGGAGAAGGACAACATGCTCAGAAAAGTGGAGAGACTGGAAGAGAGGAAGGCCCTCAATCAGGTTGATTAATACAGTGACTGCAGCAATGTGCTTAAGTGTGTAAAGATTGTGAGGTTGGCCCAGGATAGGACAGGGGAGATAGATCCATTGGATAGGCTAGGCTAGGCTAGGCTAGGCTAGACAAGGCAAGGCAAGGCAAAGACTAGGCTAGGCTAGGCTAGGCTAGGGTAGATCTCTTTTTAAGACGGTCACTATGATTCATATTCAGTATGATTCATACTTGACTTGACAGCACCTATCAGCAATTGCCACCAAATGGATAGTGCCCAGCAATCATTACTGTCTTAACAAAAGTTTTTATAGAAGACTCCTGGACATAATACGTGAATTTTTTAAATTTTATTTTAACTTTATATATAAAAGCACTAGTTACTGGAAAGTTATAAATCTATAAGGAAGTACTTTTTCACATCTTACTTCCATGAAGGGATGGGTGGATTCCAACTGCTTATCTTTTAGTCTTTTGGTTAGTAACTCAGTGTTTAACTCAGTGTTTAACCACTCTCCATTAAGGCTATATCATCCTAAATACATGGTTGTTATGTGCCTTTGAGACAGAACTACCTCATAAATGACCCTTAAACAGGATTTCAGAGGCTTTAAAATGTCCAGTTGGAGATAGCTCATCTTTCTTCCTTGGAGAACAAAATGAGTTGGCCATCACTGTATCTTATATTGCGAAATGTCCTAAATTGGTAGCCATTTTTTTTAAAAAACACCCAGTTTGGGCATAGTGAACACATTCATACTCAATCAGTGTTGTTGCTAGTTATAACTTATGTTTTAGTTTATTTTTTTCTTCTCTAAATGGCACTCGAATGGTTGTTGACTGCTAATTTATTCATCTGGGCTATGCATTGGCTATGGGCTATTCATCATATGGCTATGCATTGACAAAAAGCTGTCCCATCAGTCTTTCATTATCAAACACAGTCTATTCTGTTTTCACAGGTGAAGAAGCATCTCTAATGGCTAAAGAGGGAACTTTCATGAAGGCATTGCAAGCGCGGAAGAAGAGTAACAGCACTGAGCTGATTATTGAGCCAGAAAAACTACCCTCTGATAGAAGCGGTGTCACATTGTTAGCTATGCTAAAGGAACCACTAGACTTTCATAACAGAAATGATGTCATGAGGGCACTAAGTTATGTGCTACCTTATCTCTCAGACGGAAATCTCGAAAATATAGAATCAATATTATCACCAATCATTAAACAGCTTTTAACCAATATAACAAATAAGGTCTCAGCTGATTTGAAGAATGACAAAAAGGAATTATCCTCTTTTTTAGGGGGTAAATATAAACGCCACCTAGTTAAAAAGAAATTAACTGCTCAGCAGGTCAAAGGAAACAGAATTCTGAAGACCTCAAAGGGCATGGAGAAGAGGTACCTCCAAGACGTGGAAGATCAGAGCACCAAGAGGAAGCAAGAATCCTGGCTATTAACGGACAACACCCTCAAAGCAATAATGCCTGTGAGACTAGCATCCACTGAGCTGCCTAAGAGTGAACTGCCCAAAGTGCAGAAACCAAAGAAGATAGAGGATATCTCCTTCAACACAGAATTTTCATTCTTCAAGGATGAAATGGGCAGGACTTTCACCTCTCTTCCTACCAAAACCCAAGCTAAGGTTGGAAACCATGAAGAAGACTCGGCCAACTCTATTGATGATTTAGAAGATGCCTATGCAAGAATTAGAAGTATGAACAGTCCTCAATCAATGGCATATGCCCCCCCAAAATACATCTTTCCTAAACGTACCATTCGTCTACTTAATAGAAGGCAAAAGGTGAAAAAGAAGCGAATATTCAGAAAGGCAGATTCCCTCCAGGAGCTGATGATTGGAAGCAGACCTCCTTCCTCTTCAGTGAAGAGCCTCATAGATTTCGCTCCAAAAGGGAACTTTTTGTCTTTAGGATATCTGAGTTCTCTAGAAAATCTTCCTGCAGAATTTTATGTGAATTCTGAAACTTCTGGAGGAAACACTAGCTTAACTGACACTGTGCCTGAAAGCTCTGTCCCCAGGAAGCCTTCCCCTGCAGATTTTGCTATGAATGTAGGAGACCTAATGGTCAGTATTAAAGAAATCGATGAAGCACAAAGAGGATATCACAACACAGGTACTGATTTACCCTCCAAAGCTGGAGACTCCACTATCCCAACACGCTTGTCTGCAGGGGACAGATTTGAAAGTCAGCTCAGTCAAGAGCTACAGCCCATCATCCCCAACAATAATGTGAGAATACTCCTTTCTCATGTTCTCCGGACTTTGAAAATGGACTGCTCTCAACCCCGAGTACAGCTGGCCTGTGCCCAGTTCATCTTCAGAACAGGTCTCCTGTTGAAGCTTCTCAACGAGCAGCAAGATGTTAAGATGGCTAAGGCAGACTGGGACACAGAACAACAGGAAACAGACTTCATCAATGAAGACACAGAAAGCCGAAATGTGCCAAAAGTGCAGGAACCAGATGAGGTGAGAACAACTCCAGAAAGATGGGTCCCAGACTTTTCCATCAGAGTTTAGGACTTGCCTATAGAGTATTCATGGTCCTGTTTCTTAGCTCCTCTTAGCCAAGTGACGAGCTAAGATAAGTCTTCCACTTTGCTAATTTAGAGGAGGGTACCACTATTCTAAAAGATTTATCACACAAATGGTAAAAAATGAATGCTTAATAGTAAGAGGATTATGTTTGGGTAGGGAATAGTTAGCTTTTATCTTTTCCATCTCTTTGTTCCTAATTTCTTTTTCCTTCTTGTATTTCAGCCCACAAATGAAGTGCTGAATGAGGAGTTTTATAAGAAACTCTTCGTGACAGTATCTGTCATTGCCGTAGTGGTGATTTTGGTTCTGGTGTTCTGTCTCATTAAGGTAAGGACAACAATAAATTCACAGTTTCTGGATACATCTTGTCTTTATAATAGATTCAGACTCTGCAAATTGAACATTAAATCCACTTTCCAACCTAATAGTCTTTAATAGTCATGTGGACTGGGTTACATTTTGATTTTTCATTGCAAAAGATATTCCAGGACTTTTAAAAGAATCCCTGTCTCAGAAGATCATGGTGGCCCTGAAACCAAGATAACAAGCCATTAGACTCTTTGAGAAGTTAAGCTTAGAAAACCAGGTACATGATAAAAAAATTTCTTCAGCCCAAAACTATGACAGTCATTTTCTTTCTATTGATTTTATCTTGTCACTGATTTCATTGTTAGCTGGCTGAAATGATGAGAGAGAAAAATGACATCTCATGAGAGTTACCAATCTAAGAAGGAAATATACACAAACAATCTAGAAATTATACTGTAGTTGCATTAGGTTTTCATAGTGTTATTCTTTTCCAGTCTGTAAGGCATCATCTAAATAGTTCAGTTAAAATAACACAGCCAAATTCCTTTATCAGTAGCTTATTCATAGAGTTTACCTTATTTAGTTTTTGTTCAATTATATAATACTTTATTAATTTCCTGATAAACCTCTGCTAGCATAGTAAACACATAATTTAAGAAGTTGACAATCTGACCTTACTCTAACAGTCCCCACCAATTTACCTAATTACCTTTTCTAGGAATAGGGATTCCCAGAGCAGCTCTCCCTTCAATCTGGAGCAGCCCCCATCCATACCCCATTCTCACCATGTCGGTTCCTACTGTGTCTGTGCCTTTACTCATCTAAAATCTCTTTCACTCACTCTGCCTGTGAGTCTATTAAAAGTCAGCTCAGAAGTGTTTTTCTTCAAAAAGCCTTTCCTGAAATCTCTATTCTTCCTGGCCTTGGTTCTTCTCTGAGAAGGGTTATCATTCCTTAAAGGCCAGAGAGAGTGATTTTCCCTTTTCTAACAATGTAAAAAAGTGGTAAAAACTTTTTTAAAAGCAGGCTACACAAGATAATTCAAAATCAATACATTGAGGAGCAAAGCAAAAGTGTAAAACCAAAATTGTCTGCTGATTTGTCTACAGAAGGTAATGGCCTGCATCAGTAGGATTGATCTGTTCCTTGTAGAGAAGGCAAGGAACAGATCAACAAGTGAAGTGACTATTCTAACATCACCCACAGTAGATCTGTAGCCTATGTCAGCAGATACACCCTGTCAGGCCACTAGCACTCTGCCTGAGATGGAGAGAGGTGGGCTCTACTCCTCCAGTTCTTTCCATTAAACATTTGTTTCAGTCTATTCTCTATGTTCTTTTCTTTCTCCTTTTGAGCCCTGTCTCTACAGAGACACAAACAGTCTGTCTGTGGAACCTATGCTTTTCTCACTATCCCATAATATTTCATACATAATATTTCATAATGTGGCATTCCAATTTTTGGTCATTCCTGCCCCTGGAAAGAAGCAGCTGATTTTCTCTTAGTGGCAACAGAGACTCATTTCTAAGCCTGTGGAGGCTGGGGACCAACACAAATCAGCTCAAGGTACCAGGGATGATAATTATTCATTTACTGCCCACTGCCCAGATGTGCCCTACTGTCCCAAGTAACAAGTGGCATTTTTCTTTTTTGATGGTTTATTCCTTATAAAAAAAAAGGAGGAAACCCAACAGAGTGTAGAAATTATTGAACAATATCATATTGCAAGCAAGATCCTGCTGAAGATTATAAAAAATATGACTGGAACAGTACATCAACAGAGAATTACCATATGTGCAAGCTGGGTTTAGAAGAAGATGTGGCACTAGGTGAATCTTAGCCAGAAGCAGAGAGTGCCAGAGGAGTTTCTATCTGTGTTTCGTTGACTATACGAAGGCATCTGACTCTGTGGATCACAACAAATTGTTGCTAACCTTGAGGGGAATAGGAACTCTAGGGCACTAAGTATGTCAATGTAGAGACTAAGGTGCACCTGATGATGCAGGCCATGGTCTTTGCAATTACTTGCTATGCGTCATAGAGTAGGACAATGACTAAGGATGGCAGAAGAAGATTTGATGTCTTTGAGTTGTGGTGCTGGAGAAGGGTATTGAACATACCATGGACCACCAAGAATAGTTCTTTCTTCGAGAGGGTGAAACCAAGTTTCTCCTTGGAGTAAAAAATTTAGAAGCTCTTTCTTATATACTTTGGGCAGGTGGCTAGGAGGGGTCAGTCCTTGGAGAAGGATATCATACTTGGAAGGGTAGAGGGACAGCACTGGAGTAAAGGACCCTGGATGAGATGGATTGACACAGTAACTGAGGCAATGGGGGTCAGGAGTATCAGAGTTAGTGAGACTGGCTCAGGACAGAGAAGACTTCAGAACTGTTGTAGTTAGGGTTATGATGAGTCACAGGCAACTTGAATGCACATAATAACAATGTACTTGGGCCAGGAAACTGTAGCAGAAGAGAGCAGGGAAGCACTGCATGGTTCAAGATCAGGAAAGATGTGCATTAGGGATGCTTCCTATCCCCATACCTTTTCAATATAATTGTGGAACAGATAATTCCTGAGGGTGGACTTTATGAAAAGGAATGTGGTACCAGGATTGGAAAAGACTCACCAACAACCTGTGTTATGCTGATGACACAACTTCACCCACTAAAACTGGGGAAGACATGAGACATTTGCTACAGAAAGTCAAGGACTGTAATCTTCAATATGGATTGAAGCTCAACAGCAAGAAAACAAAGATTCTCACCACTGGACCAATTGACAGCTTCATGACTGATAGAGAAGAGATTGACATTAACAACTTCATCTTCCTTGGTTCCACAATTAACTCTCATTGGGGAAGTTGGCTGTTAGGGACTCTCTTGAGTACTGAAGAGCAACTATGTCATTCTGGAGACTTAAATTGCACCTGATACAAGTCATGGTCTTTGCAATTACTTGCTATGCATCAGAGAGCTGGACAGTGATTAAGGATGATAGAAGAAGAATTGATGCCTTAGGGTTGTGGTGCTGGAGAAGAGTCTTGAACATACCATGAACTGCCAAGAGAACAAACAGGCTTGTCCTGGAGAGGGTGAAACCAAGCTACTTGCTGGAGACAAGGGTTTTGAAGCTCCATTTCATGTACTTGGGCAAGAGACCATTCTTTGGAGAAGGATGTTATGCTTGAAAGGGGGGGAGGTGCAGTGCAGGAGAAGAAGATCCTATATAAAATGGATTGACTCAGTGACTGGAGAAATGGGATTACTGGAGACGATGAGATTGGCTCAGGAGAGCATAGGATTCAGAGCTATTGTACACAGGGTAGCTATGAGTCACAGGCAACTCAATGACTCGTAACAATAACAGCATAAACCCTCTGCTTTTAATTTCTATGTTCTGTTTAGCCTTATATTTCTATATTTATATTTTCCTTATATCCTCTTCCTTCTTAGATATTGAGCTTTTTGAGGACTATAACTATGCAGTATTTTAATAGTAATGGACAATAATGGTGCTTGTTATTGTGTGCTGTTAAGTCAGAACCGACCCATAGCAGACCCTTCAGTGGGTTTTCAGAGGCAGTAAATTACAAGGGAGGAGAACACGTTATCTTTCTGCAGGAGAGCATGTAGTGGATTTAAACAGTGTGCCTTAGGGATTGCAGCACAGCTTCTTGCCACTATGCCACCAGAGCTCTGTTATAATGGTGCTTAAGAGAAGAAAAAGACTGTGTTGTATTAATTCCACATTCAGTGATAACCATATAACCAAATACTTACTTTGAAGTAACATACAGATTCCACCAACAGACAGATTTGACAGATTTAGGCATTCTTAAGTTTTGAAAGGACAGTTTTTAAAACTCTAGAAAAAGTGAACACATTATAACAGAGTAGCGGCCTGTGGCACAGTTATTGAAACTTTGACAGATTTGCCCTCCATCAGCAAATGTGGGGAGCCCCTGACTGGCCTACTTACCTGGAAGGTTGACATTTCACACCCACCCGGAGTGTCTAGGAAGTAAGGCCTAGTGTTCTGCTTCTGGAAGGTCATGTCTTAAAAACTCCTTGGAGCAGTTGGTTCTACTCTGCACATGAGGGAGACCACGAGTCAGATCTCCCAGGGAAAAGTGCTGCTGACTCACAGGGAGGAGACAGAATCCACTAGCTGCACCGCCTGTGCAATTTACAGCCTCTGAAAATCAGCTGGAGGGGGAGCTTTGAGTCCCTCTGTTATTCAGCAGCAGCAATAAAATGGCTGAGACTTAATTTAAATGACAAACTTTGTGCCTGATTTTATCTTTCTCCCACCCCCACCTGAGTCCTCACCCTTTAAGATATGTTATTTTTAGAGATAAAGGAGATCACATTAAAGCCCCTTTTGCAAAACCAAAAGCAGAACCGAGAGTCACCAGATCAGAGTCTATCTCCTAACTGTTCTGTTTTCATTTCCTTAAGGCAAAAAGAAATGAGGAATATTTGAATACTGAAACATAGCTGAAGTAGCTGGAGAGATTGATATTTTAAATATGAAAAGAGTTTTCTAAACCAATAAGAAAAAGAGAAATGATCTGGCAGGAAAGGAGGAGGCAAGGGTTCTGTAGAGAAAGAAAGAGGTGTTTGCACTCTTAGAACCACATCCATCCCTCTCCTCACAGCTTTTGGCCTTTGTCACATTGTGATATAGAGTTCCCTATATTTTCTTCTGTCACGTTCCTCAACTTCACCTATTGCAATCAAATTGGAACCAACTTAAACCTGACCCTCTAGTAGTTTTTAAGAGCTGTAAGTCACAAGAGAGGAGGTTACCATTTTTATCCCCCAAATACTGATGTATTTGAACTGCTTGCCATTGGGTTAGTAGAGCAACTCTACCCTCTAGGTCATTAGGCAACCACTTTACATTCATAGCATTGAGCTATTATTATTTTATGTTTTATTCCACGCAGAATGTGTGTTCTGTTTGGTTGGTTTGAGTATAGTTAAGGCAGGAAATCTAACTTTTCCCTATGTGGT